GGGCATTTCCCAGACGGAATTGAGTGATGCCAAAGGACTTTAGCTTGCATATTTATGCGCCGTTTATTTACTAATTAGAGGAGTAGGTAAGAATTTTCAGTTATCGACGAAAAGCACATTATTATACCCAACTTATGGATGTACTACACAAGTTAACATTACATGGACTCTCACTGTAAACACAAGGAAATTCGCAAACGTTTCCGCTCACAAAATATCTTCATTACCGTGTTTCTTCATATTCATTTAATTGCTATCTAGCCAAAAATTCTTTTTTTAATGATCTTTAGTGTTTGATTACCTGAAGAAGTGTTGCCAGCATGTTGGTTGTAGTTTGACTGAGTCCAATGGATAGCTGGTGTGCGTACTCAAGTGGGGACGGTGGCTGTCCGGTCTGAAGAATCCGTTGCAATGCAAGGATGTAATTCCTAGAATTTTTCAAATTGAGCACACTTCGTAGCTCAGAACACCCTTAACCTTTTTGGAGAATCGAATTCGAGCCCATTTCAGCTAATTTTTAACCACTGGAGATATGTGGCCCGACTTTGGTAATTGAGTGCAGGTACTGTTCGGATTACAACAGTTTTACGGTCAAAGCTAGCCGCTATACTGGACAAACTGAGGCATTGACCAACAGTTACTACTCCAAGTTCTCTTCTTTTTCTATTGCTCTATGAACTAGCTCGGTTGTCAATTTTTGAGTCGTGAGGAATGACGAAGAAGGCTCAGAACAAATTTTTGGTTTTGGGACTCATTGATTTCTGATCAAAAGCATTGAAACAGGAGCCCATATTCAAGCTGTACAACGACTCCAGAGACTCATGCAGCCTATGACATAAGCAATTCTACGCATATGCTGAGCCTGGGAGCACAGCCAGGTTTTTCTGGCCCAGGATTTTTAGAAAGAACGCCCACACTTTGGTTTGAGTCTGTGAGTGAGACACTATCCACTGGCGACTCTATTATAGCGCTACTTCTAAGTGCTAGTGATCCTCGGCCTTTTCTTCTTTTTGAGTTTTTCGAAAAAAGGTAACCATCCCATTAAATTCGAAATATTAAAATTACCTGGCAAGTCGGAGGGTTTCAATTTTGCTCAGCTTCTGATGTTGTGCTGTGATCGGGATGTACTGAAAATTTCTCAGAGTAGTTTCAATTTAAAGTTTCAATTTCAATTTGATCTGAATATAACACTTTCTAAAAGTTCGCACATGGTGAGTGAAAGAAGTCGTAACTAGGCAAAAGTAATGAATTACCTGTCTGAGCACATCCAGGGCATCGTTAAGGCCATGCATACGTTGCCGCTCCCGGCCATTCGCCTTCA